GTAGATTTCCTGCAGTACCTAGCATTATGTAAAGCCTATGCGGACAGCTGCTACACTGCTTCTTCAAAGAGCAATGGCAAGGAAAGGAATCCGTACAAACTAGACACAGTTTGTTCTCTAGGTAATTTCCATCCGCTAGAGTGGAGCCCGTGGACTTACCGGGCTGACTTTGTATTGAGCACACAGGTAATAGAATGTGTACATGCAGTGCTTCATGACGGTCCACTGAACCAATATTCCTCTCAGTTTTCACAGCTCAGGGAGTCCTTATGATGTATTTGATGCTATGAAGCAAAGGAAATCTATTGCTAGTAATAAGAAACTATACCTTCATACAGGGATTAAATCTGTAAACTTGGTCAGTACAATCGACACTGTACAAGTTAGAAATGAGAAAGTATAATTTACTGACCTTTATTAAAATACTCATTATCAGGGAGTCCCAGTCTCCTTGGTGCACAGATTAACTATGTTTCACAACCTTTGAGAAGAGGAATTTAGAGCTCTTTCATTGTCACACTGTTTTCATTGTTTTACAGTAATTAATTTTAGTAATAATATAGACTGTTAGTTCCTAAATTTGGCAAGAAAATATACTAATCAGAGTTTTACTGATTTTTTAAAAAATAATTGCAAATTAGAAAAAATAATTTATTTTGCTCTAACATCTTTCTCCATTATACATTTGTCTATGAGCACATGAAAAGAGCCATATGTGAAATTGTATGAATTCAACTTTACGCACATTTAATATGCTAAGAATCCTTTACAATGGGTTGGGGAGATGCTCAGTGGAGGACCCAGCTTCAGTTCCCAGCACCCACATAGTGTTTGATAGCATAGTAACTCCAGTTGTAACTCCAGTTCCAGGGGAGCTGACATTCTGGCCTTTGTGGGTGCTGCCCACAAATGGTGTGCAGACAGATGCAGAAAAAACACCCATTCATAAATAATAATAATAATAATAATAATAATAATAATAGTAATCTTTTACACAATCTCACTGCTATTATATAGCACTTCTATTTAGACTAGAATATGGGTAAGCAAACTTAGGTGCACATGAATGCATAGGTTCAACCATGACAAATGAATAACTTTTGTTCTATTTGGGTGTTGGGAAATCTAACATAAAGAAACGTTCTGGGTTTGAGTTAATTGTAAGTGGGAGTATTTTGTTGGTACCTTCTCATATGCTATGTAGAGAACAGCACAGAAATACTTAAAATTCAATGTTTGCCAGTATTTGCTGTAACAGCTGAGATTTAACAAGGGCTGCGACTTAAGGCCGAGGCTCTTAAGTATATTCATCAGTAATTAGTTATGATTTTTGATTAAAGTGTAACCTCTTTTTAGCTTGTTTTCGCATCTGCAAAATAATGACTCCTGGTTAAGCTGGAATAACTATCAAAAGTTTTAATGATGGGTTTTTATTACATCAAGTGCTTTCTACTTAAAGTCACATGCTTCTCTTTGCTACTGGGGATCATTAAGGAAGCCATTTTGTTCATTCACCAAATTATCTATCAAGTCTCTAGTCTGCGCCCCGGATGTTTCCAGCACTGGGGAGGATACAGTAGACAAACCTCTGTCTTCAAAGACGCAATATTCTAGTGATTTAAAGTGCACATTAATCTTATCAACACGAATCTAGAGAGTCTTATTGTGCTTTCAAAATACAGACAATTGCCACCAAGTGGCTCCGATTCATGACCTTTTTATTTTATAATGGTACAAGAGATAAGGTGGAGACCACATTTTGAATTTGGAATGCTGGCCTTTTCTTAAGTTGGCGATATTGGCGTAATCTTCTTGTGATGCTTGGCTGCAGGCTGAAGAAATGATATGAGCGCATGTAGTATAAGTGATCACATTTTCAGCTCAGTGGGCTGGGTTTAGTAAGTGCACTTTAGACTTTTATTATCAGCTTCCAATTGGGGCACAACCATATTATAACTCGAAGGACATCTCTCTTATACAGAGAGTCCTAATTTGCTAGAATTTCAATAAATTCAGTAATTTACTATATGATACTTTACTCAATCAGCAAATATTTATTGAGTCTTTAGAATATACCCAGATTTTCCTAGCCATATATTTATGGACTTAATATACACATTAACTGTATCCATATTGATTAGAAAGGAAATTTTTGTTAAATGTCTGCTCAATAATATGCATCTAAAGAACAGAATGAACTTGGAATAATTTGTCCAATTTTTTTAGAATCTGTATTCCCATGTTGAAATTGCACAAAAACAAATCTGAAACACTGATGAGCTAAGTACCTATTAGAATATTTATATTAAGGTTATCTATTCACAGCTGTGGTGTGAGTGTGTCTGTGAACTTCAGTGGTCTGGATTAACTGTGGATTTGGAGCTCTGACTTTCAAGCAATACAAGTTTCTTGAACTTGATAAACATCTAAACATTAATGAAGATTGTCCAGAAATGAGCCTAAAACTACTTTAAAATGATTACATATACTATTACAGTATATTTTAGAAATATGACCCAAGACTAAGCTATTTTTTTTCATTTCCTGTAAGCTTTCTCAATTATGTCATGCTGTGCACTAAATGAATTTGTAGGATACCATATCCATTTTGGGGAAGAAGACAATCAATCGATCAGTGTTTTTTTTTTTTTTAAACTACTCCCACATCTAATTTTCTAAAACTTACACATGATGGACTTTGTAGTACTAGTAACGTTGATTCATAGAGTGACTTTTACAAAGTGTTTTAAAAGGGCAATGTAATTAACATTAGCCACCACAATCTAAATCCTCAACATTTTACCAATACTTGAGCTTGGTCGGCTGGACTGTGGACCCTCAGGGACCACATCTCTGTTTTAGTGATATACTCGAATTCTAACATCCTTACTGTGGTCCTGACTTTATCTGGGACTATGCGAATCTTTGTCTTGCTATGACTGTGTGAAGGAATGAACAGTGATGTAATTTCAAATCTCAAGATTGTTACTGTAAGGTTAAACTAACGCCATGAACTGGTTTCTTTAAAAGTGAACCACTACTGTATCAATGAAAGTCATTAATGTTCTCTTGCCTACATTCAGTCAATATCAACTTTTGGAAGTGCTTTTATGTAGGAACCATAATAAAGGGAACATACTATAAGTCTATAGAACAATGTGCATCCGAGTCCCTAGCTGATGTAATTAAACACTTAGTGAATAATCATTGGATCTGCTTCAATGATCCACTAATATTGGAATGCTACTTTAAAATCAGAGCAATTTGTTTTCAACTGTTTTACAATTTACAAATGGAAAAAGCAAAAGAATCTTGTTTGTCTTCATATGTCATATGCAGTTTGTGGACTACTCTCTAGTGAGAACTATTTTGTGTGTTCCCATGTTAGACTATCATTAGTACATAGTTTTTTAAAGAGAAGGAAATACTCACACAGTTGTTTTAGAGTCATTAGGACTAAGATGATTCACTATAGTGATTAGGAAAATCCCAGAACTCTGTTTTACCTTGAATTTACACAATCACACATTTTGGACAGTTTAGAACCTAGTCCTGTTTTAGTTTTCAATCGTCAAGCAATTTCTACATGTCTAACCAATGAGAGTCAAGAAACTACTTAGTGTGTGGTCACAAGGGCCAAGAAAGATGAAGAATTAGGAGCTATACCTTCAGCGTCAAATGTTAGTGAACAAAACGTATGTCCTTAGATTTAATTCGCTTCCTGCACTCTGAGCCTTGGGTTAATGGTCACTTAAGACATTTCAGGAGAGCGTACTCACGTTCTTTCCAGAGGTCTCTACAGTCCCAGCACTTCGGTTTTTATCACACCCTTACCACATCAAGCATATCACACACACACACACACACACACACACACACACACACACACACACACACAGGTGCGCGCGTATACACAAGCACACTGTTTAAATGGCCTCTTCCACTCTGCAGTTTCATTTGCCCACAAGAATCTTGCACCCACCGGACAACAGGAATGACATTGGGTTGTGTTTATACATTCAAAAACTGACTGCTTCCATCACAATGACAGCAGCAATAATGTATCATTCTGCTCCATGAATCCCTGGTTCTGACAGACTCAGACAACCCCCCTCTTTGCTTCTGTTGCCATCCACAGAGCATTTGAAAACCTTGGGGACAGTCCTTGTAAACAACCCTAAGTCCCAGCTAAACCGAACCCATTCCCACTCCACCACAGGCTCCCTTCCTTTGTCTAGTCCTCAGGGTGGATGGTGGAGCAGAACTGCTCTCCTTTCACCTCGTCTCTCCCGAGCCTGACTTTGTGGTTGCCTTTACCTGTTGCCCTGGCTATCCTCCCCCTCAAGTCAGAAACCCTTGCCCGGAGACCAAAAGGACCGGAGAAAACAAAGCGAATGCGACAAGACTACGTAAGGCAACGGTGCATTTCCGAATGCGATCAAGTGACCCTGGCTGGGGTCATTTGGTCACATCTCTTCCCAGCTGCCATTTGCTTCCATGGTTCTGGACGCCAGTAAGTAGTGTGGAAAGGATTTAGAATCTCTTTTCCTTTTCCTTGACAAGTGACCTGGGTGTCCCTACCCTTTAGCCATCGTTACCAAGAAGCACTAGAAAATTACATATGCGTTACTGAAAGGCCTCGGAGGATTCGGAGAACTCGACAGGTTGCATCCGAGAAAGTTAGAGCTGAGGGACCTTCTCGGCATTCAGGGCCCACTCAACCCGACCTCTAAGAGCAGGTTCCTTGAGGCCAAGCGCAGATTTTCACGCTTGGCTGGGTGGTCCAGCGGCGACCTGTAGGACAAACCAGGGCACACGAGTCCCTAGGGCGCCAGAGCAGCAGGTGGGAGAGAGCGAGAGCCGCCCGGGAGCAGTGACCCAGCAGGTGCTGGCGACAAACCAAACAAGCTAGTCGCTGCGGCCAGTGAGACAGGCGCCAGCTAGAAAGGTTGCCCCTAAGATAACCCTTGTCCCGGGCAGCGCAGGCCCGATCCCCTTACCTGTGCCACCTCCTCCCTGGCTCGCCCTATCGGCGGGAAAGATGCCCGAGCACTTGTCCCACTCCACCTGGCCCGCGAAGCACAGCTCGGTGATGATGTGCAGTGCCTTCTGGCACAGGCTGCTCACGCCATCCTCCTTGCGGAAACTCATCTTGGCTTCTGCTTGCTGCTTCTCTGATTTCGCGTGGCCTGAGGCTGAGCCCTAGGAGTTGCGAGTTGGCCCCATGGCGAGCGAGGGAGCAGGAGGGCGGCGCGCACAGACGGGAGGACGCTGCTGCCTGGTCTGCGCTTCTCCTCTCCTCCGAGCGCTCGGAGGCGCGCGGAGCCCAGCCGGCGGGGAGCGAGGGGCGGCGGCGCGCAGAGTGGCGTCTCCCGGGTGCTAGGCGGTAGGGCCAATCGTAGGCTCGCGCGGGCAGCGGGGGGCAGAGGCGACCTGGCCCTCCCGCGGCTCCCACACACCCACCTGAAGCCCAGTTAGCCTCTTGTCATCTCCACCTTTCAATCCAACTTTCCCTGGTCTCTAGCAGATTCTGGATCTCTTTAAAAATTTTTTTAAAGCCGTTCCCCATTCCAGACCAGCTGAATATATATTACAAGAGTAATCAGAGGACAGGTCCATGCAAATCAGAGTGACACTTGTTTAAAATTTGTTTTCAAACGACTTGGAACAAGGATGACTTAGGGATAGGGAGCATCCTAAGTGAGAGCACTTCAGCAGAGCAATTTAGTTCCTCCGAAGCTGGTTTACCCTGTGCTGTGAACGTGGCATTTTTAATTCATTGCATTTAACCCTCTCAGGTAGATGAGAGAACGAAACACGCCACCCGTCAGGGTTTTATTTATTAAAACCGTAACTGGTGATTGGAAGGCGCGGCTTGATCTTCCTTTCTCTTCTGTTAGTCGCTTAACATGACTTCCGTGTAAAAAGGAGCAGGGTGGGGGTTTAGGTTAAGTACAGTCTGCTGCAGGCTCGCGCTTAGTTGTAAAGAAATTGTTTTGATGTTTGATGTCTTTTTCTCAGCCTGTTTAGAACAAAAGGCTTTCGCTGGCGCATTATGAACCCTCGTGTTTGAAATTCTCTAATTCAAATGGGTGTAAGCCACTAATGAAGCTAAAGACACAAAATAAAATTAGAAACAGTTGCCACAGGCTGTTATAAACGCAACTACCTACTTTAAAAGCCATTTTCACGCCGGCCAGTGAGTCAGGTAGACGATTTTCACTCTTCCCTCCCTCCACCAATTCCAGTTCCCCAGTCTTATCCCGAGACCGCCTGCTGCTGCCTCACCTCCCACTCTGTCCCATTCAGAGAGGGACAATGCAGAGCTTCTCCCACAGTCTCAGGTTCTCTCCCTGGGAGCCCTATGGCTGGCTGCACCAGCGGGGGAATCAGGGAGGCAATCTTCAATTTCTTCTGTCCTCCAAATCTGATTACCCAGACTCACCCCAGACCTGAAACAGTCCACCTGCTAGGACCTCACCTTCTGCTCCACACACTCCTTATCCCCAGGGGACTAGTTAGATCCTGACAGCAGACCCAGCTTTCCTCCCTTCAAGGAGCCCTCTCAACCTCACTACTTCTAGTGAATCAGCCCCCAATACTAAGGAACACTTTCTACCGAAGGAACCCCAATGGCCATACCTGACAAAAACTCCCTACCAGGCACGCCTAATCCGTTCAATTAGTGCCACTTCCTAGTGACTAGGTATTCAAATCTATGAGCCTGTGGCGGCCAATCTCATTCAAATCACCACAAGGGAGGGGTACTAGAATAGACTATCAAAAGAGAGAGGAAATACCAGGAGGGACACTTAAAACTAAGAGTCATTTGAGGGGTCATATAAAAACTTAATACAGTAGAAGCTTCTAAAATATGTACATATATGAAAGTGATCTAACTGAAATCTACTAATAATGGAGGAAACAGAGTCCCATCTGAACATCCCTTATCGCCAAATGAAGCCTCCAATTCCAGGAATAAGTTACATTTAATAGAATTGTTGTCCAAAGGGGCCCCATGGAAGCTCCCAAACAGTCCAAGATCTTGCCAAGGTTATTGTGGCTCTCCACTAGCTGACAGCAAAGCCCTGTTGATACAGACAACACCTACACAACTCATTGAACATGGAGAAGTGGAGCTATTGCCTACATAGGGCTTTCACCCCTATGGTATTAGAAGGTACTTTGCATGCTTCCAAAGAGAAAGGTAAACTCCAACACAGCTACAAACCCTTTCATCTGCAGTTGTGACCTGCCTACAACATACACAGGAACAGTAGCGGTTCAGAAGCTGTGGGAATAACCAACCACTATCTGATTGACTGTACATCCTACTCCAGGCGATGGAACTCTGACACAATGGTGCTTGGGTGGTCAAGAACTGTGACTAGATAGACTAGGTAATCCTAATGACATTCTGCTATACACATAGACAAGTGTCTCCTTGCTCAGCCATCATCAGAGAAGCTTCCTCCTGCAGTAGATGGGAATAAATAAAAGATTCAGTCAGACAATATACTTAGAGTGAGGGACTTTGGCACATCCAGTCCTGTAGAGGATATTTCCATCAAATCCCTTCTTTCAGGCCTCAGGGAACCCTGCAGAAAAGGAGGCAGATTGTAAGAGCCAGAAGTGGATGGAGGATGCCAAGGAAACAAGGCTCTCTGGCAACAGTGACCAACACACATATGAATTCACAGAGAGGGTGGCCGCACCAAGAGGGCCTTCACAGGTCTGGGCCACACTGGAGGTCCTAGTGCTAAGCAGAGAAGTAGACACAAACTCCCATCCATTACCCAGAAGCTATCCCCAATAGGTAACTGTTTGCAAATGAAAATTGTTTTCTCCAACAGTCTCACTAGGGAAACAAACCGCTCTGAAGGCTAGGCCACAAGTCCAGCAGTAGATGGTCAGCACAAAACCAACTCAATGGCATTTTTTGGAGGTTCTTTGTCTCAGGACTTTTTGTTTTAATCTAATAGTTCCTTCGTGTATGTGTTATGGCTTATGGTTTTGTGTTTTACGGAGAGTTATGTGTATGTCTCTGCATCTATAAGTGTTTTTCATCCACTGTTTTCCTTCTGCTTGTTTTGTCATATTCCATCCACTCTTTAATCTCTTACTTTACTATTTGTTTTTAGATGCCTGTTTGTTTTCTGACAAGTGAGAGAAAGAAAGGGTGTGGATTTGTATGTGAGGTGAGGAGAATCTGGAAGGAGTTGGGGGAGATAAAACCCTAATCAGAATATATTATATGAATAAGAAATCTGTTTCAATAAAAGGAAAATAGAAGGAAAAACCCACACTTTTATGTGGTTTGTTCCCATATTGTAACCCGAGGATTTGATTATCTGTTATTAGGCAAGGGAGACATAATTTCTGAAAATGGACAACATGTTTGTTTGCCCATTCTGGTAAAATGAATAATTTTATTTTAAACTAGTCAATCCTTGGTTCGTGTCTGTTGGATGGACAATATGGTAAAGCTCATGGTAAGTACTAGGTTATTCAATGTTGTAACTATTCATTAGTTGAATCATTTTTACCTGATTCATAGGAAAATTGGGTGGTCTGAGACTAATTTTACCATGGATTAAGAGACACTAAAATCTGCAGGCTTCAGTTTGATTTTTTTCTTTATTGCATAATGAGTGGTGGTTTCTAAATGGAAATAAAAAATAATTTAACTGCTAGTTTAAAAATACTATCTACAGTATGCTGAAAGTTAAGTAACACATTCTAGTAGAGCATTTTCCAATCATCCTTGCCCTCCATTTGTCTATAGTTTGGGCAGAACAGTGAGCAGTGCATTGTTCACATTTGAAAGCATTAGTTGAGCAAAATGCTATGTGGAAGAACAGATGAGTAATTTGTTTTTTATACCACTTACAGACTCCACTTGCTTAAGTAGCAATGCAGATCCCTCTAATAACCCTCTTATGATTGATTCCTGCTTTAGTATTAAGTAAACACATTCTGAAAGTATTTGTTTACAGTGTTCTGGCCCATTGCTCCTCTCCTCTCATTGGTGTTTTTGTAACCTGGGCAAACTTCTCAGTGGTTCTAAACTTTTCTAGTGCTGTGACTTGATATGCTTCCTCGGGTTGTGGTGATCCCCCCAACCATAAAATCGTTGTTACTTCATAGCTGTAATCTTGCTACTGTTATGAATCTTAATATAAATATCTTCCAATGGTCTCAGACGACCCCTGTGAAAGGGTCGCTCCATACTCAAGGGGTCTCGAAGCACAAACTGAGAACTGTTGCTTCAGATGGCCATTCATTTGTTTGAAGCTATTCTTTTTTTTAACTTTACAATAGTTATTTTTATTGATTCACGATACTAGTGACTAATAAGTCATAGAGACCTTAATGTGCATTCCTTAATTGTGGCACCTATTAGATTCTCTACAGTTGACAGGTCTGTTAATTTTGAGATGACTTTTATAACTTAGCAGATATTTTTCTGCATATTACATAACAAACCTCACATATTTAGCTTACACCATTTGACATATCTTTACATATGTGTACCATCGATCTAATCAAATGCCCAATATAAGGAATCTCATAGGTGCCCTAGTAGATGTCCATTACTTAAGCATTTCCCAAATATGTTTTCACAAGGCCTATTTCTAGACTGAAGCTATTATTTTTTTTTCCATTTAAAATGAATGCTATAATGTTCTGTCTTTTCTCTTGGTTGTTTGGCCTTTTCCACAAATCATTCATAGTAAATAAATGGAAACATTGTTACCTATTGTTTGTTAATAGCTCAGTAGGAGTTTGGTGAACTTACTACATTCAAGGTCCACACCCCTTCTGCCACAGTGTTAAAGGCTAAGATGATAAGAAATTAATTTTGTAGTATTTAGTATTGTTATTTCCTGCCAATTATTTTGGCTTAAAAAGTAAATGCAGCTGTATAGACATGCCTTCATGTTCTGATCCACACACATAGTGAAGGAAATCCTGTAGTGAACTGTTTAGGGTGACAGTCGTCAAGCACTGTTTGTTACAACAAGTACATTACTCAACACCATTATCTTAAGAATGCTGCTTATGCTTAACATAGTGGCACTCATATCTGTGCATTCCAAGCCAGTCAAGGCTACATAATGAGATACTGTCAAACAACAATGACAACAACAACAACAGTGAAAAACCATTCCTTCTAATGACCTCTGTCACTTCTTTTCAGTGGCTTCTGTATGGTGTATAAAAGAAACTGGTTTGGGAAAGAAGAGTCCAAGAGAAATCCCTAGAGGTAATTTTGAGCATTCAATGTTGTAATCTTCCTCCAACCCCCATTTGCTC